AACCACCCAAGAGAAATTGATTATAGGAGAACCTAGTGACGGGTGTTAAAAACTAGTGCGTGGATTAAATAGGACAGTCAATCAATTTCAGCTTTATTCAATAATAGAACCCACAATATTGATTCAAACACTTTCGATGATTTTGGATATTAGCCAAGCAAGAAGATTTGAATTCAATTTGTAAAGAATTAAAGTTGGAAATTAACCTCAAGGCCCAAAAGATCAAAGTGTTGTTGGAACCAAGTTGGGTGTTCAAAAATAAAATGAATGACTTTCAGGAGTAGTCATTAGAAATAAGGGCTAGATTAGTTTTCTAAGGGATATAATCAAATTGAAGGAATCAATTTGAGAGACATTTGCCCCTTTTAAGACAATTACTTGAAGCAATTAGGGTTTTACTGCCTTGCCTGTTTTAAGGTTTAAATTATTTCAATGGATGTAAACAATGGCCTTTTTGAATGGGGTTATTGAAGAGCCGCAATTTTATGTTTTATGTAGAACAACCTCTAGGATTTTGAAATTCAAAATACTCAAATCATGTTTTTCAAATTTAAAGAAGCATTATATCGGATTGAAACCGCTCCTAGGGCGGTACTGAGAGAGTGATAGCACCTTAAACCTACTTGAAGAGTCTTTGAAAAAAGTAGATGGATACCAACTCTCTTTTTAAAGAAATTTGAAAAGGAAATAACTCATTTGTACAAAATTCTATGTGCGATGATATCATCTTTGGATCTTCAAATAAAAATCTTGCCGCTTGATGATTGATTTTTCTAAACAATGAGTAGTGAATTTGAAATGAGTGTTAATGGAGATTTAAATTACTTTTCTAGGTCCTTTACATTAAGCAAACTTGAGGATAGGAACATTCTTAGCCAAACTAAATATATTAAGGACATCCTCAAAAATATGAAAGGAACAATGCGATACCTGTTTAGTACACCAATTGAGTTCCCTCAGTTCAATTGGATTAAGAACCTTCAGAGGGATAAATCTGTTGATCAAAAGGACATATAGAGGGATTATTAGATCTTGCTTTACCTTGACTGCTAGCGCCGACCAGATATTATGTTCCAGTGTTTGCTTATTTGCTAGATTTCAATCAGATCAAAAGAATTCACACTTTTGACAGGCCAGTGAAAAGGATCTTTAAGATACTTACTAGGAACTCAAAACTAGGAATTTGGTATCTAAGTTCAGCTTTTCATTTGATATTGTTGGTATTCTAGATTCTGACTTTGCAGCGCTGGTAGAGTGGATAGGAAAAGCACTTCAGACATGTCCAAATTCGTTTAGAAACATTCATAATACCCTGGTCCAGTAGAAAGCAAAAAATTCAGGTAGCTCCTATCTACATGCAGTAAGCCAGAATTACATTCGCATTAGGGAAGTGTGTGGCGACAACGCTACTTTTGGTTTAAAATAACAGCCCTTGATTAATTAGGATTAACTATACGCACTATTCTAATTTATGTGACAATACTAGTGCCTAATTTGTATTATCCAAAATCCTATGCAACACTTCTGAACCAAACATCATTGATTATAAGGCAATCATTTCAATAAGGGATCGATGTATCCAAGGGAAGAAATGAACTCACACATGTTCAAACTGAAAAATACAATTTGCAGACATTTTTACAAAACTTTAGCCTTTGATACCTTCAGTTCACCTGACTTAAGACAACAGGCTTGTGTTTATTGATTTAGAATGCCTAAACAAAATGTCTCCGCCAACATTGATATTATTATGTTTTCTAAGTGTATTTGTTTTTTGTTTTATTTTTGTTTTTTGTGAAATTTTGTGTGTTTGAAATGAATTTTTTTGGAGTCATAGTTTTGTTTTATGTTTCTCTGTGTTTTGAAAGTTAGTTTGATTTTGCTTAAATTAATAAAGTTCAAAATTCAAAATTGAAGAGAGAAGTCGTCCCAGCGACGCAAATTTTGTTTCGTACTGGACGATGGTGAAAGAACCATTTTGCGCGCAATTTAACCGTTTGTCCCGAGAGCAATTGCTTTTATATTAGTATCGTCGTACGAATCTGACGACTCGTCCAGGACAGAAGACCTTTTCAAATCTCTCAAATGTCGAGAAGCATTGAATGTCAGCAGTTGAAGTGGAAAAGATCAGTTTTTATATGGACTCTAGTCTGTTGAATTTTTGGTTCCGTCCAGCACGAACATATAGAAATAATTCATTGTATGGAGGACGCGTTTTCAAGAGACACTAAATGAGCTTACTTTTATAGTCTGTTACAAAAGTTTTTTGCGTATGTACGATCGGTCTAAGTCAAAAAGCATGTACTAAGGACGCATCGCAAGTCTGTGTTGTTACGAAGAAAGCCTAACATTTTGGACTAAAATGTTTGATCATCTGCTACGAAAATTTCTCCGTCCAGCTCAACCGAACGCATGATTTTCTCCCAGCGACAAACTTCTTTACTCCAGGACAAAACATATCGCTTTTCTTTAAATATTGAAGGTTTTCTAACCTTTAACAATCACACTTCAAACCTTCTCTTTCAAGTCCTCTTTCTAGCTTTAAAGTTGTCAATGGCCTCCTCAAGCAAGCAGATCAAACAGGTGTTAGTGGCAGCAAGCCCAATCAGGAACTGCCTCAGAACAAATACTTCCCTGTCTAAGGAGAATTGAGGACATCCTTTTTCCTCGTTTTGCTTCCGTCAAAATCAACATCCATCTCACATCTTAATGCCAAAGCGAGAATAAATTTAAGGTGAATGCACCTTCTCTCCTGCCTAACCCAATTTCCATTTCATACTTCTCTCTCGTCCACTTCTACAAACAAGCAACCTTCCACTATTTCCTAGGCAAACACTGAGTCTTAACTCCCGAACCACTCTAGCATAAGTTCCTTTTGTCTTCTAAACAAAGTAAGTGTGAAATCACTAAGCATGACATATGGAGCCTGTCTAAACTTAAGGACTGGCAAGGAATATAGAGCCCCACACCCTAATGAGGAAAACACATTTCAAATGGATGAAGCCTAATAATGCGACTTAGAAAAAGTGGGGTTTAACCTTCATGTTGCTAGAGTCTCCGGGGTGACTAAAAATTGCCGTATCATCAGCAGTATCCTTTAGATCTTCAATCATTCTTAAAGCTGGTGATTAGTGAGCAAATACCCCTCTCCTTTCTGTTCTAACATTTTTATATAGATTATCACCCTATCGACGAAGCCCAACTTATCATAGATCATATCTATGGGGACATGGCAGCATCAGAAAAGAAAAAGAACATCTCTTGGGATACTTAGTTACCTACATCTTGGAAAATATAAATACAACTATAGTGCATTCTTGA